GCTACAGTAAATGCTTTACCATCTGGTATTTGGTATTTCATGTAATAATAATAAAGTGACATTCCAATGCTACAGTAAATGCTTTACCATCTGGTATTTGGTATTTCATGTAATAATAATAATAAAGTGACATTCCAATGCTACAGTAAATGCTTTACCATCTGATATTTGGTATTTCATGTAATAATAATATTAAAGTAACATTCCAATGCTACAGTTAATGCTTTACCATCTGGTATTTGGTATTTCATGTAATGATAATAAAGTGACATTCCAATGTTACAGTAAATGCTTTAACATCTGATATTTGGTATTTCATGTAATAATAATAATAAAGTAACATTCCAATGCTACAGTAAATGCTTTACCATCTGGTAAAGTGACATTCCAATGCTACAGTAAATGCTTTACCATCTGGTAAAGTAACATTCCAATGCTACAGTTAATGCTTTACCATCTGGTATTTGGTATTTCATGTAATATAATAATAAAGTGACATTCCAATGCTACAGTAAATGCTTTACTATCTGGTATTTGGCATTTTCCTTATGATATTTTACAGTAAAGACTTTGACACCTTGTTAATGTTCTGAATTAAAGTGTTTCTACATCATATTTAACAATAACAGTTTTAAACAATAATAAACATTGTAAAAGACCTTAAACAGTATAAAAAAAACATTTATAAGCACAGTATTTTAAATGTGAATCAAAGTCCAAACAGCTAACAACTGAAGCTGGCTGGCTGGCAGGAAAGAACATACAACAAAACCACAAGAATCCCACTAAGCCATAATAAGCATCTGTATTTGAGGATATTGAAATTTGATGTTATAAGAACGTTTCAGATATCGGACAACAAAGCTTTTACAGTATTCGTACCATTTTCTCCCCCACTCTTTCCATAATTATTTCCAATGCTGTATTTTCAGTAGTAACTGGTAACCCACACTTACCTGACAGGTTATGAACAGTAATACTTAATAGCACAAGTTCTCCAACTAAGAAACTCAGTTCTTCTTCAACTTTAAATGGTCTGTCATTCAGTGATATGTCTGGAAAAAGTTCAAGGTAAAAAAACAAAAACACCGATTATAAACCTTACTATTTTGTGGATAATAATACTAGTAAATACTTTCAAGTAATAATTTATTACCATCACCCATTGGTACAAAAGCATGTAGTAAGTGTGTAACAGAACACTGCTACACACAGATAACTATGATGTTGACTTATACCTATAATTAGTAGCTACTAGACTGGTATTTTCTCATAGAAACATTTTCATTCAATAGTTAAAGCTTTTCAGGATTATCAGTTTAAATTATTGGATTATTTTCAGTGCATCCTCAATTGTTACTTTTTACTTAAAGAGTTTTTCCTAAACAAACTGTTTATACATATATTTTTTAATGTAAAACTTTGATCAATTATGACATATAAAATCAAAAGTAGATAACCAGGGGCAAATTGGGCTGCCAAGACACTGAGAAAATTCCCAGCAATTCAATGGAAAAAAATTATTTATTTATTTTTTTGAGTGAAAACTATTTAAATTGGGTGCCAAATTTCCTGATAACAGCTTATAGCACAGCACAGATGCAGCATGGTTGACAGATAAATAGATAATTACACTCTTACAATATTTTTTGTGTGAATCAGTTTCATCTGATGTAACTCTGTGGTCATATAGGTCTATCTTTACTAAGATTGACAATAAAAGTAATAAAAAGTTGGATTGTAAATCAAAATCCTGCACAGCTTATTTTGGTTTGATTTGTAAACCTTACAAATAGTACTAGAACATATTGTAGGCTATGCAACATTAACTACAGTACTCAATACTAGAATACAAGAATAGTACAAGAACATATTATAGGCTATGCAACATAAGTACAGAACCCAATACTACAATATAAGAATAGTACTAGAACATATTATAGGCTATGCAACATTAAGTACAGCACTCAATACTAGAATACAAGAATAGTACTAGAATATATTATAGGCTATGCAACATTAAGTACAGTACCCAATACTATAATACAAGAATAGAATTAGAACTTATTATAGGCTATGCAACATAAGTACAGAGCCCAATACTACAATACAAGAATAGTACTAGAACATATTATAGGCTATGCAACATTAAGTACAGCATCCAATACAAGAATAGTTCTAGAACATATTATAGGCTATGCAACATTAAGTACAGAACCCAATACTACAATACAAGAATAGTACCAGAACATATTATAGGCTATGCAACATTAAGTACAGCACCCAATTCAGTTGTTTCAAGAAACCATCCCTTTGATTACATTGGAGTGCCAGTATAAGAATAATTTTATCGGGCCGTTTATAATCCTCGATCTGCCCCTGAAGATAACTATACTTATTGAACCATAATAATCTACAACTACTACAAACACAATACAGATATTACATTTAACAGTTTCAATAATGATTCATTAATAGAGCTCACTATAATGTTATGAAGGAAGATATGAATATTACAATAACCCTATCAATAGTGATACTTCAACCCACCCCAATGTAAAGGTGACACAAGTATATTGTCCAACATGACCGGTGTCCACATGACATCAGCTATTGATGCACGTCCACTTACTTCCAATGCTGGGTGAGATTTAGTTAAAGAATAATAAAACAATTCACATACTTTTAACGAGTACAGTAAACATTTCTAACCCTTGGGTTGGTAAAAATCACTGATCTTCTTATGAAAAACAAAATCTCATAACACATTTCTAATAACTTAACTACTTTGCAAGACTCTAGCCCTAAACTACTCAATTGGTTTGATGGTAAATTACAACGATATTTGAACAGGCTAAAAATAAGAACCACATATTAATTTGTAGTACCAAACACAGGTTAACAGGTGCATGTAGAAGAATTCTGATGTATTAACCCCAGGTTAGTAGCATGAGAAATGTACAGGTCTCAGGTGAAGATCTCCTACTTAAACTTCTAAATAATATATATATATTTACTGTAATAGTTTCTTCCACAGTATTACAAAATTAAAAGTGATGAAATATTGTAGAACATATGTGATGCAGATATAAAATCTAAGGGCAGTTTAACCAGTCTACATTATGTAATAAGATGAGTATTTCAGACATACTGAAAATAATACGATTTAATTCAGAATATGTATAAATGCAAACTATATGGGCAAGGTCGTCCACTCTAAATATACATCTAAATCAAAACAACTCCAGGGCAGGACAACATTTGGTGAAACCTTACATTAAAAAAATAACTAGTTTAATCCCAACAAAAAATAAACAGGGAGATTAGACAGTATTATAAACACAAAACTAAATAATTGGACAATGTAATTTACAAGTCAGCAGTAAGTAATGTATATGTCTGTATATCAGGCTTATAATGAATTAGCCTACCATTTAGAAATACGCAACATATGTAACAAACATTTCGGTGATCATCTAAAAGAAAATAAAATAACAACAGGTAATATGTTTGCAAATTTTGATAATTAGATACTGAGTTGGATTTTGCACAAATTTCTTGGTAACGTAACCCTCTAACCCCAAAATAGTATGCATGAAATTCCCAGTAGTTTGAACTCAAAATTTGGTAGTTCCAACATCAGGCCATTGGATTTTTACACCCCTGGGTTAGGCTTTGAGGGCCACATGTAAAATTCTGTATGTGAGAACAGCAGGCAGGATTTTCATGGAAGTCAATCCTACTCTTTTCTGAGCAATCATTCTGTAGGTAAAAACATAAATTACCTAACAGGTGTACTCAAATAAATGTTATTGAAGTTTAAAACTCTTTACTAAGTACAACGTTTACTAAGCTGTATAACAAATCACTTATTAGACCGTTTAACAACGCATCATAATATGTACAGCGTAAAGGATATAAGGTGCCACTGTAGATCCACGAGGTTGGCAAGGTGTTGCTTGCATACAATCTCTAACTCAGCTGCTCTTCCATCTCCACCAGCCTTTTCCTCATCCACCTGAAAGGATGCAGCGCTAATGGGGCAACGCTCAACGGGAATGGGTATTCTGCACGTGTCATTTGCCTCAATAAGCATTTGTTTACTAGATGTGTACTGCAGCTCCATTTCGTGGCAAGTGGCATTGAGCACATCAAACACCAGGTAGCAGTGTGAAGAACTGTGGAAATTGAAAACCATGACTATTTATCAAGCAATAACACCAGGTAGACATGGATTGATCTACGTGAAACATATAAATGTTTAGGCAAGCCCAGAAGTGTAGCTCGACTGACGTCCAACATTTCCAAAACTATAAATATGTATATAAAAAATAAATTATTCAGTTTATGCCTGATCAAGCTCTCTGGTTTCTTGTTATCCCCCGTGTGCACTGGTAGAACTCTCTCAGATTTTCCAGCACATACGCACACTGTCAAACTTAGAAGTGGACATCAGGCACCACGCAACTGCTTTGGCTCAAAAGCCAGTGTCGGAGTGTGGTGAAAAGTGTTTTGTCTTACATCATGTGGTTATTAAGACTCACAAGTATAATTTAAAAACTTAATGAAATAATTTTAAAACTACATTGTGTGTTTAAAATATACACATTTTTAAAAAGATTTATTATTTACACAATAATACAATTAAGGCTTTATTTTCATTATTCCTGTTGGTAGGACAGGAGATGCGTAAAGCATTATAAAAGTCAAAGTTTTTAATATTGTAATGCAGTTAGAAATTTTAAAAACTTGTTTTAATGTTAGTGATTTTTATATGGTATCCAGTTTTTTTCTTGCTGCTTAAATTAAAGGAAGTTGAGATGCATGTTTTTTTCTCTGTGATGTATGCATATTTAATTTAGTACCAATATAAGCAGTCTCAAATAGTTAGTGCTGCATATATTTTTCTTTATTTAAAATAGAGATTTTTACTGATGGTCATGTCACATCATGATGGATCCGTAATGATAAAATTTAACACTACATCACTAGGCTTGATAAATATCAGATAGTAGGCAACCCATCTGTCTTTCAAATCCCAAATGTCTACAAATACTAGATGGTAAGTAGCACATCTGCCTTTCTACTTCCAAATATCTAACAGACATTAGATGGTAAGCAGCAGATCTGTCTTTCTACTCCCAAATGTCTACAAATACTAGATGGTAAGTAGCACATCTGCCTTTCTCCTTCCAAATATCTAACAGACATTAGATGGTAAGCAGCAGATCTGTCTTTCTACTCCCAAATATCTAACAGACATTAGATGGTAAGCAGCAGATCTGTCTTTCTACTCCCAAATGTCTACAAATACCAGATGGTAAGTAGCACATCTGCCTTTCTACTTCCAAATATCTAACAGACATTAGATGGTAAGCAGCAGATCTGTCTTTCTACTCCCAAATGTCTACAAATACCAGATGGTAAGTTGCATATCTGCCTTTCTACTCCCAAATATCTAACAGACATTAGATGGTAAGCAGCAGATTTGTCTTCCTACTCCCAAATATCTAACAGACATTAGATGGTAAGCAACAGATCTGTCTTCCTACTCCCAAATATCTAACAGACATTAGATGGTAAGCAGCAGATCTGTGTGTTTTAAACACATAATGTAATTTTAAAATTATTTCATTAAGTTTTTAAAAGTATACTTGTGAGTCTTAATAACCACATGATGTATGACAAAACACTTTTCACCATTTTAAAGCTCCGACACCGGCTTTTGAGCCAAAGCAGTTTCATGGTGTGGTGCCTGATGCCCACTTCCAAGTTCGACAGTGTATTATTTAGAGATAATACAAATTCACTGGATTTAAAGCTATTTTAATTTAACTATTTCATTTGTGCTACATAATTTTCATTTTCTCTTATTCTACTTTTTGTATTCAAATCATTTACTTATTATTTATTACAAATTATATCATATTTCTGATCTAATTACCATTATGTTTGTTTTGTACCTCTGAAAAGTAGAATTTTTAGTTTGCTTGTTGTTAAACACAAAGCTACACAGTGGGCTATATGTGCTGTACCCACCACAGGTATTAACACTCATAATTTTTCAGACTTACCAATGAACCACCAGGGGGCATAAGAATATTTCATTAATCACTACCTTTATTACTGCAAATACACATAAATGATAAGCTTCTTTCATTTTAAAAACAAGCACAGTCAAAAGATAAGAAACAAAATGAAAAGAAGCATGTTTATTAACACTAGAAACACAGATGTTAATCTACTAGTTAACAGCTCAGTAAAATGTTTATACTTTAGGAAAATGCAGAAAAGAAAAGATATATGATCAGTATGTTCTTGGAAATATGTTTACAAAGAAGAAAAAAACGTGCATACATAGCTAACACTGATGAAAATGGGTGTATTTTTACAGTTATAAAACATGAAAATGAACATATATACTCACAGGATACAATAGTATATCATTTAATTTCCAACAACATATAAACATGATGACCACAGATTTTAAAATATACTGACAAAAAACTTTATTTTGTAATGAAAAGTGCTGTATACTAGAGATGAGATTTTAAAAACATAAAACAACCACAAAAAACCACATGGTTGGTAAGTCCTCATAAACATACCACAAGCACATGAATTGACCAAATCCAAGAGAAATCAACCCCAGGTTTGCAGGTTCTCAAACATATCTCTACCCCAATAAATTTTCCCCTTGGACCTACATCTTCCTTAAAAATGATCTTTTTTAAATATAGATTTGAGGAATTCTTTAATGTATAACACGTCTACATATTATAGATGATAGGCAGGTCCTCAGATATTTAAAAAAATACATACACATACCAAATGATAAGCATGTCTTCAAACTTTGTAAAAACACTTACACATACTACAATATGGACAGCTCTCAGAAGCTTTAAAAATCTCTAAATGAAGATTGTGGACAGCTTCTCAGAAGTTTTAAAAATATCTATATGTAGCACAATGAGGACAGCTCCTCAGAAGCTTTAAAAATCTCTAAATGAACCACATTGTGGACAGCTCCTCAGAAGCTTTAAAAATATCTAAATGTACCACAATGTGGACAGCACCTCAGAAGCTTTAAAAATCTCTAAACGTACCACAATGTGGACAGCACCTCAGATGCTTTAAAAACATCTATATCTACCACAATGTGGACAGTTCCTCAGAAGCTTTAAAAATATCTAAATGTACCACAATGTGGACAGCACCTCAGAAGCTTTAAAAATATCTAAATGTACCACATTGTGTACAGCTCCTCAGAAGCTTTAAAAACATCTATATCTACCACAATGTGGACAGTTCCTTAGAAGCTTTAAAAATATCTAAATGTACCACATTGTGGACAGCACCTCAGAAGCTTTAAAAACATCTATATCTACCACAATGTGGAGAGTTCCTTAGAAGCTTTAAAAATATCTAAATGTACCACAATGTGGACAGCACCTCAGAAGCTTTAAAAATATCTAAATGTACCACATTGTGGACAGCTCCTCAGAAGCTTTAAAAATATCTAAATGTACCACAATGCGAACAGCACCTCAGAAGCTTTAAAAACATCTATATCTTCCACAATGTGGACAGCTCCTCAGAAGCTTTAAAAACGTCTACACATACTAAGTGGTAAATTAAAAATCAAAATTCTAAACCAGTGGCTTTCAGATATTTCTCCATGGATCACTGCAAGTCTACATGGAGATTTTAGCCAGTTTGCAATTTGATTGAAAAACAAAAATGTGTGTTTTAAAATATAGATACTGAAGTATACTGTTTTACAATGAAATTTAAAGTTAATATTGTACGAAGCAGTCTGTGAAATTTGGGGATCGGAACTACATGTTCCTTAGTTGGAAAGTGGGTGGGACCACTGTTATAAATCTTTAAATGTTGTTCTCTTTGTATATTTTTTTTCTTTACACATCTACACAATACTGAGAAACTTACACTTCTGCAGGAAGAACATCCCATTTTGTAATCACAACTGAAGGTATGACTTCCACAGTGATAGCTATAGCACACTGTCGACAGTAATCTGTCTTACCTCCCGGACCACCAGAGTACTGAAGTTGTAATACTACTTCGACTGTCTGTAACGGGATGTAAAACATAAAACAAGCAATAAAAACGTGTACATTTCTTTCATTTCGTCAAGTAGCTCTATTTAGCTTGTTAACTTTACTATTACATAAAAAACTCAAAATATAAAATATTATTTTTCTCGTTGTTGCAACAAAATTGTTAACTGTGAAATGTCTGACAACTCCTCTAAAGTATATTATAATAAAAAAATATAAAATTTCTTTCAGTCCAGAACTACTGCTTATATTATTATCCTAGGTTGGGAAGACATAAAAAAGAAAAACATATTCCTTGAAACATCACTGGCTAAAACAATTTTTATTTTACAGATAAAACTTGGTCAAACATTCTGAAGAAGCAACAAAATAGGCACACACACACACACACACACACACATATATATTATTGAGGCAGTAAATTATTTTTATATTTAAAATTTAAATGACTGTTAATATAAAATAAATGAAAAACATATTTTACAGGAAGTAGTTAGATATAAAAATTATAACTGTCCGAATTCGTACTTTAGGTGGATAAGGTTCTGGGCTTGCAATACTTGAAATTTTTCTACGTTGCGGCGTGTCTAACAGGGAGGAGTTTGAAGAAGTTCTGGAGCTCAGACCTTTACTGGATCCATGAGCAGGTGATCCAGTTTCTACAAACAAAACCAAAAACTATGTACACAAACAGTATCTAATGAAAGACTGAAGAAAGAATACTTTTGCAATATTCATCACAACAAAAACATTATAACTCTTTGTATGTGAATCATTTAACAGCAAAGTGTATAATATAAAAACATGACGACAATATAATACAGGCCCAAGACGTTTTCTGCTAACTGTTAGTTAGATAAGACCAGTTTATAAGTTACCAAGAATCAGCCAACAGCACATAACAGTCTATAATTTTTGTGCAGATTGAAAGCGTCAAGAATATTTAACTCTTTAAATCCAAGCGGAAACTACCTGGATCCAGCCAAAAATCCCAATTTACTCATTGGATGGTAATAGCACCCAATAACATTTTATGTCTCTTTGGCTGAAAACTAATTCAAACCATGTTATTATTCACGTTTTATAAATAGACCAGAAATTATTAGAACATGCAGAATTATTAGAACATGCAAAAAATTATAAGTTTAAAAGAGTTCATAAGACCATACAAATATTGTGTGGTTTAGAACAATTTATAATATAATTAATATTCATGTCTTTACTAATAAGATGTTAAAGTCCTAAGAGAGACAAATTCAGCTAACCAGATTTGTCTGAAAGTGGTTCTTTAGGTGATAAAACAAAGTCTCCCAGGGCACGGATGTAGAGCGTGAAGCTGGCCGAGTTTCCAGGGAGGATTGGAAGCTGAGTATCTAGGTTTTCTTTGCTCCAAGTGAAGAATGTTTCTTGAGTGGCTGAACAAAGATATATTTTTTGTATATTATATAACTTCATATTTTCAAAATGATAAAATTAAAGTAATTATATCAAATATTTAAAAGTAGATATCTCTACAAGACAGAAGTATGGGATTAATTTTCAAATTTACATTTAATCAGCTATATAAAATGATTTATAGTTATTTTTGTATATAGGATACGCTATTCAGAAAATACGAATCTTAAGTTTAAAAAGAAAAACTATGCTTTTAAATGTGTTAATAAAACAATATTTGTAAGCCTTTTATTTCAATAATGTCATTGCAGGCTGTTATAAGTAAACTACTACTGAATACGATTTTAATAAATCATAATCACTCAGTATGTACAACTATATATTAAGTCACTACTTACAATTATGAATTAGTTTATAATAAAAATTGACTGATTACCTACTTTCAGACTAAAGTATCATGGGTTGCTTTGTGCTAAAGAATGTAATTCTGAAGAAAAAAATTAATACCAGATAAAACTAAAAACTCAATTTTTATGAAAAAAGCATAGTAACCGAGCTAACCTTTATCTAGTTTACTGTGCAAACCAATATCTACTTTCTCCACTGGTTCACAGCCTGAGTTGGTCAGTGTGATCGTAGACTCTTGGCTGTAATTCAAATTTATAACCATGCAATGTAAGTAAATGTCAATATGCCTGTACAGATAATGAATCCTGTACTAAAGAACACATTTACTCTTGTGATACACATTTAAACACTTACATATAATCTTACCAAAACATTTTCAATATCAAAAACTCAATGTGCAAAAGACTCATATTCACATTATTACTATACTTATGATAAGTATGGCTAAGATATATACTTCACAATGGAAAACTAACATTATATTAGAAGTCCTAGAATGGTGATCATGACTTTATATAAGGGCAAAAATACCCCTTTTTTCGTGAAAAGTATTGTATACTAGAAATATTTTCTCAGTGGTCAAATATTTTAACATGTAAAATGATAAATAAACTTTAGTAATTCTAAAAGATCCAGTAATACTTTCTCTAAAGATTTCAGAAATATTTTGATTCTACAGTTGATTTTCTAACTAACTTAAGGTATAAGAGAACATACTTTAAGTTTTGTTAAAACCACCAGTTACATTCTAACAGCCAGCTACAAGTTATTAGAAGCTTGTTACTGTATTTTATCGAACAATACCAAGATTTTGAGAAAAATTGATATTGAAATAGGAACAAAACAGGCATACAACACACACACACACACACACACATATTACCGAGACAATAATATATGTGTTTGTGTGCCTACTTTGTACCTCTTTTTAAACTATTTTGTAACACTAAAAACATCCTGTTGTGTAAAAAAAAAACAATCTATCGATTAGTATTTCTCGATTACACAATTTCAGTATTTTTAATATTGCAAAAATTAAAAAAATGTTGTTATCAAATAAGTTGAAAACCTAACGTAATTCTCAGGAAGTAGTCAGATAAAAGGTTATAACTGTATATACTTTAGTTGGATAGGATTCTTTCTCAATACATTATGTAATAGCTATTGAATTATTGAACTTTAATAATACTCTCCTGTTTTGTCAAGCTAACAATTAGAAATAACTAAGTACGTGCAACCATGTCTAAATTGTAAACAAAACACTAGATACATATAACAGTTAGATAACTGCAATTGGAAAAAAAAAACGTGAATTTTTTAACATTATTTTGAAAAAGCAATAGACCTGAATGACAAATATGAAGAACTATAGTGGTTTGAACTAAACCAAGGTTTGAAAACAGAATAAAATGACCCGTTTTACATCTATACTTACTGCTATAAATATGGAGGCAAATTACTGTAACATATATTTACCGATTTTTGTAAAAAAAATAAATCTATAATAGTAGGACATTTTCAAAACTACAATACCTTATGAAAAATAAAACTATGAATGCTGATAAGTTTTGAACAGAAGTTTCTTTTGAATATTACAAAAACAAGGAGTTATTTAATGCCAGATTGTTGATGATAAAACTTCACAAAAATTGCACTGCCATAGAGAGCTAAACATAGCTACTAACTCGATTCTGGGAGGTACAAGTCAGTCTTAATATATTCTAACCATTGGGAGCAGTGTTATGTGAAGTACGCAGAGATATAGGATTGTATAGTGAAGTATTTAGTAATATGTAAGAGTAATAGAAAATAAGCAAAGCTTCACAGCCTTTATTATCACATACAGTGTAAATGTGATGTAGAGCTCTACAGAACTAACTGTTAACACACTATTGTTATTAATATAAACTTTAATTTCTTTTCATTATGTCAACTGGTGGTTGAAAAGGGGCACCAAATATAGAACTACTACAGTGCCCCATTTTTAGCGTTTTCAAGCTTATATTCAAAATGATGAAAAAAGCCATAATCCTCAAGTGACACCAATAGTACGAGAAACGTCTATTTCACAAGATGAACTATTGTCAGAAAAAGAATTCATTTTGCTAATGACATTAAAAAAAGATCAATATACCTTTCTCCTGCAAACATCGTAACAGCAGCAGTGACAACTACATGACTTGTATCAGTAAGAGAAGAAAAAGTACTGGCTTTAGGAAGAGAAGTGACTAGCTCAAGTTGTGGTAAGGCAGGCAAAACTTCAATGCTGTAAAAAGGCTTCTTGATTGCAGGCAGATCTCTAAGTCGACAATTACTCTTTACTCCAAGGACATGAGTGGTGTAACCTGGAAATAAAAGTTGTTTGAAGCTTACTCTAATGATGCCATTACCCCATCCTTTCTCAAAGTATTTAGCTTTCTTTTAAAATTAAAATGCTATTAATTCCTAGCTGTATGGGAAACTAGTGCCAAATGTAGTTATAACCCCTATTCTGAACTTGCATACTTTCATATCTTTAATAGTCATCACACACCACTAAACTAAAGTCTTCTGTCTCCCAGCTGTTGTCTCATTCTTACTTATTATCCATAGCCCTCCTGTACCAACAAACTTATTCTTAACAACTGAAACTTCCATATGTCAAACTTAACTTGAAATTCTCTCCAAGTCAATTGTACATTACTTTCCGGGCAAATTTCTTGTTCTTTTAATTTTTTTTATTATTCCTTAACTAAAAATTCTGTAAGCAAATTTTCTCTATACCACAAACTTAAAATGTACTTTTTACTTTTGTATCTCAAACAGCTACGTTGCATTTTATTACATGCACTACAAAATATTGTGGCAATCAACAAATGCAACTGACAAAAGAATGTATGAATAGCATTACCGTATATTTACAAGTTGAGAAATCATACAATCTGTGAACCAAGCAGCTAGTAGTTGAATAATAAACAACCCACAAGCTAAGCCTGAGTTAAGAGGCAGTTACAGCTTTCTATGCTTAATTCACAGTCACATTTCTAAGATAGTAAGATGATACATTGAAGAAACACCACAAACCAAGAAAGCAGTTAAAAATAACAGACTTCTGGAAATAATTTTGTTTTTTTTTCATTATATTCAATTTTTATTTTAGAAAATATTATGTTTTATACAAAACAATAAATATATTAACCAACTAAGTAGTTATGGAGACAAACAAGCTTATTTACTAATATAAATACATATGCAAAAGTACCTTTTTACATCTCCTTACAAATTACTCACATTTTTGTTAACTTAAATGTTCTATATCTCAATGTTTTCCAACTTTGGGAAGTTCTACTGATAATAACTGATCCTTTTATGACATCTTTAATTCTTCTCTATCATTTAAGCTTATTCTAGACTAAAATCCACAATCAGTAGTAGGTGACCTTTCCCATCACCTGTAAACCCTCTTGTACAAAAAAACATTCTACACTGTTGTATCAGCAGTATGAACTAATCATGCCCTATTTCACAAAGCTGGTTCAGAAACTGAATGATTATAGTAACACCAGGCAACAAAAACATTTTCTCGACTGCTAGAAAAATGTAACTGTTTTTAAGTAATTTAACAACGTTGATTCTAAAAATGATGTTGAAAATTATTGATCATCTCGAGTTATGACAGACTTATTCAAAATATTTTATACATCGTTAAAATAACTTTTTTTAATAATTTTATTTATCCTTTACAAATCGCATTTAAGAATGTTAAAAACAATATATAATAGCAATACCAGTTTAAAAAAGCAATCAGTATAATACAGTTATACACTGAAAAAAACAGTCCATGTTCAAAACTTGGTATTATTTTTTTTTATATTGTGTATGTTCTCAGTTTCACTCTGTAAGAACCAATAGTAATCTCCCATCATTTCAGGATTCCATCGTCCTTGATACCGCTGTTCCATTGTAAATATCTTGGTTGAAGAACTCATCATGCTCATCTCTCACTGCAGCTAGATCCTTTGGAATTCTAAATGGGAGTGTAAGAAGTGTATCTTTAGTGACATCCTATACCCAATTTACCTGTAGTTCTCGAACATATCATTCAGACAGATATCTGAAACCATTACCATCTTTGTTCATTCCTTTTACGTAATTCTTCATGAGTCCCAGTTTATCGGCTGTCCCTCAGACACACAAAGCAACAATGTTTGGTATACCCACTCTGCAGGCCTAGCAGGAGTGCAATAACTTTTAGATTACCCCTTATGTTCTACCTATGGTGATCATATTTGATGGCCTAAAGTAAAATCTGCATTATTTTATATGTTTCTTTCATGTTCACAGCATGAGCAACAGGAATCGATGGGTTAGTGTTCCCGCTGTGCAAAAGTACAGCATCCAGGCTAACTTTAGATGAGTCGATAAAAAGTTTCCGTTCTTGAGGACAATGTTCAGTACTTAATGGTTCCCTAAGTTCATCAACAGTTGTACAGAAACACAAAGTATCTTTCATGCTGTAGTGAGAAGCAATACTTTGATGGCGACTTCGGTAAATTGAAACTCTTGCTCACGGAGCTAATAAAATTCCATTACTGTAAACGAGAGCCAAGAAGTTCCCCATGCTGCTTTGATAGAGACAAGTCACGAATCAGATCATTTAACTCTTGTGTGATCAGATGAGGCAGATTATGTTGAGGTATCACAGGAATAGAATTAGTAGATGAAGAGAATGAAGATAATTCATTGTCTTCTTCACAGGATAACTCTTCTGTTTCCCAACTTCCTGGTGGATGTGGCAGTGGAAGATCATCCCCATGAGGTACTGGTTTCATTGCAGATGCAACATCTGGATATTTAATGTATTGTTTAGTTTTTACTGAATATCTAGAAACATTAGAACCAGAAATATAACAGTCAGTTAGATGATCTTTGGGTTAATGTCATATCATGGGAACTGCAAATGGCATACTTGCTCTCTTCTTATTCAGCCACTGTGTTAAGCCAGATGTGCAAACTGTATAATACACATGGGAAGCCCAAAGTTTTTTCTTGGTCACCAATTTTACACCAAAAATAGTGGTAGTAAGCTACCTTTACCTTGTGTGTGATGTTTTTCTTAAGTTAAACTGTAATATATTTTCCACTAATGTAGCAGAACCTGTTTGGGTAATTTTTGCACTTTCAGACTTTACTTGAACTGGAGGTAGCCAGTATTTCAAATGATTTTCTAAAAAATATAAAAGAATTTATACTTACAGAACTAGAGTTTAAAAGATTTTAAAAACAAAGTTTTGTGGAATTTGATTATATTGTGGGTATGACGCAAGGAAGAAGATCAGACTTTGTGTTGACTGTGGGCGGAGTGAGGCGAAGTGACCAACTGACTGAGTGAGAAGCGACAGAAAGAGAGGTACAGTCAAGGGACTTCTCAAATGTTCTAGGAAACTGAGCACCTGAGGGTTTCAGGATTCCCAGGAAGAGCAAGTAAGCATGGGAATGAAGCAAAAGTGGTGCAATTCTCTACAATTATATCGAGAACAAATAACATATATATACAATATATTTAGAATTTTACATCAATACAATACAGTCAATGTTTAAAGTTATCAAAAATGTATGCCTTTTACCCATTAAACCATCCAAGTAAACTTAATTTCATAGCATAAATGTATTGTACTGAGTTGATGGCATGGTATTTCACATGGTGCTGATAAAAATAATGAGCTATTACAATTATTCAAAATCTAGAGGTGATGAATAAATTATGACATTTTTTAAATCAGAACTATCAAATCACCCCAAATCACTTCAGTTTCCTCCAGTAGCAAATTTGTTGTTGTCCAGTGTAACCAATCCTTCCAAACATCTGTAACCTTCTTATACCAACATACATATCCTTAACAAAATTGTACCATCAGTAATAACTAATTATTCCCACCATGTGAAATTCTTTTGTGTAAAGAAAGTTAACCATCAGAAACAACTGACTCTCCCACATTTGTTATTTTTCTGTACAAACAAAATTCACTTTATTTTAACAATGATGTACTTCTATACCATTACCATGATCACATCCTAGATGGAAATCCGAAGCTCTTTCAATCGAGCTGTTAACTATTCATTACTCCATTCTATTCTCCTATGGACAAATCAGGAACTGTAATTACCCTGTACTACAAATTTTAGCTCATTCCTACCTAGTATTTGTAATTCTCCTGTCCCACGAGGTGTACCTAGTAAATTAACTGGATAAGGACCAGATTCAGCAGGAAGCGAAAGGCATGCTGGAAAACTTTCAAAAGCTATACCATCAGCTAGAAGTCCCTAAAAATGGCAAGCAAATGCACCATTGTGATGTTATTTTTGTAAAGACTTACTTTTAAGAATAAATTGCTTTAGCCTGTTGTAAGTGTCTTAAAATGTTTATTAACTCACAAGATAAAAATCTTAATCTAGGAACACAACTTACTGCAAACATCTTTTTATAATTATGTTATTTTACATATACTAGCATTTAGATTAAAATTTCCAAATAAAAAATATTACATTTTAATAAATATATTTAAAAATTAACTACTTCGTGCTTATGTTTACAACTTTTGGTACCAATCTCTAACATAAGGCTTTTTCAGTAGTAAACCTACAAATGACAAACACTGAGAAAAAGGATGAAGAGAAAAATATCAGAGGATCAGATTTTTAATATTCTTCTCAAATATAACCTTATCTAATGAAAGAAAAGTCAACAATAAATGATTGACTGAATTCCTTTTTTGTCACATTTTCTAATAAAGCTTAAGAAAGCAAAGAAAAATATAAAGTTCATGAGTTGAGAAATAATTTGCTTATTACTTTGCAATAAGAATGACCATAATATGTCTTCCCAGAATATTTTGCTATAGTTTCTTGAATTGCATGCAAAGCTACTCGAGGGCTATCTGTGTCAGTTAGCACTAATTTGGAAGTGATAGACTAGAGGTAAGGCAGCTAGTTGATTTAGTTTGTTTGAATTTCACGGAAAGCTACACGAAGACTATCTGCACTAGCCATCCCTAATTTAGCAGTGAAAGACTAGAGGGAAGGCAGCTAGTCATCACCACCCACCGCCAACTCTTGGGCTACTCTTTTACCAACGAATAGTGGGATTGACCATCACATTATAACACCTACACGGCTGAAAGGGTGGGCATGTTTGGTGGGACAGGGATTCAAATTTGCAAACCTCAGATTGTGACTTGAGCAAACCTAACCACCTGGCCATGCCAGGCCTAAGGCAGCACCATCCACAGCTAACTTTTTGGCTACCATAATTGAACAGTGGGATTAGACCATCATTCATATAACACATCCATCACCCCAAAGTGCAGAATGTTTTTTTTTTATTGATAGTAACAGGTTGTGAACCACAGTTGATAATATCTGTTTTCATAAGAAAAAATATGCAAGCTTACATATTTGTTTCGACCTTTTAATTCCAGCCTCCTTTAAACGTAACCTAACACTCAGTCCCCTCAATAGAGCACATATCTATTCTGACTTCCTCTTTCTTCATAATGAAATAACCACTTTATAGAATATTCTAATAAACAACAGCTATTCCTTGCATTTTATTCAAGCCTTAACATGCAAATTCCTTTCTCACAAGATTGAACCCTCAATGAAACCATACACTGTAGACAAGTACCCTTTAAGACTGATCATCCCTTTTTTAGGTAAACAATTTCATAGTGAAGTCACAAATTTTAATAATAATTAAAACTTTTTATCCAACAGGTTAAACTACAAATGATATTTAAATCACATTTCAAGATCCAAAATCTATTCATGTCTAAAGACCAATTACCAACTCCTATGTGTTCCAGGATTATGTATAAATACATGTATGGCTGTAATGCACATTGGCAACACTATACGCACATTACACTTGCGAACATATGGGAGTATCAAACAGAACTGATAAATAACTATCAAGTCCTACAGGCTCTGCAATTTGCACACATAGTGAAAACAACAACCACCTCATCTTGATTTAAAATTTCAATTAAAGAAATTTCATCTATTATAAATAAACTCCCAACTTTAAATAATAATACAACTTTGCTACAATTAAGTCTGTTTTGTTTGTTTGTTTGTTACGGATTTCCTGCAAAGCTACACGAGGGCTATCTGCACTAGCAGTCCCTAATTTAACAGTGTAAGACTAGAGGGAAGGCAGCTAGTCATCACAACCCAATGCCAACTCTTGGGCTACTCTTTTGCCAATGAATAGCGGGATTGACCGTCACATTATAACGCCCCGACGGCTGAAAGAGCGAGCATGTTTGGTTGGACAGGGTTTCGAACCCGCGACCCACAGATTGCGAGTCAAGCTCCCTAACCACCTGGCAATGCTGGGCCAAGTCTGTTCTGAATAACTTGTGCAGTACTGTTACAATTATTGAACTATCCTATCCTCTTTTGTTTTAATTAACGTCATCCTTTTACTCTGTACTTTAATTCCTCTTTACAAATTGTTAGAACTTTAGTAATTTTTTACCTAATATTTTATCTTGTCCAATATAGCTTGTTGAAGGTGGAATCTGTACATTCCAAAACGTTCAAAAATTAAATGTTTGTTATTGTCACACACGTATAAAATGTTTATTGTTGTTGCCATCATACAATTATTTATAATTCAACTTTGAATCATGTCAAATTTTGTGTAATTATATAGGTATTTCCATTATGAGAAGGACATCACCAAGGGAAAAAAGTGTCACTCCCTCCCCCACCCAAGTCCAGAAAGGGTTAATTATGTTTTGTTAGCTAACTACTGCTAGAAGAGCAAATAAACACTTGATTATTAATTATCTGAGTAAAGTTCAAACCAAACATTTACAATGAGAAGTTTAGTATCCATTTAGAACCCAATTATTACTGGACCTACCATATGTGTGACTTTCAGCTCGAATGGAAGAGGATTAAAAACTTGTAAGGCCACTTCGCAAACGTTTCCTTCAATCCATTTAAAATCTAAAACAGATACAGATATTAAACGTTAAAGAGGAGTTAAGCCTTCAACGTATTACAAATGGCTGAAATATGAGAAGTAATAAGAATAAACTTGAGTATTCTATATTCTTAAACTTTTGTTTCAAAGAAAATTTAACTAAACTTAGTGAAAGATATCTTTTTTATGATACTTGCAAGGTCATAGTATGATTTCACACATTCCTTAAAATCTGTGTTTTACTATTCAGAATTAGGATCCAAAAAGCTTAAGATACTGTACATATTATGAAACTTAATTTTCATGATAAAAGCTTAAAAATAAACTACCAAGAAATTATAGATTCTCAAAGTTCTATTCAACAAAAACTTCACCCTTTTAGCTGTATAAATAAACTCTGGTCGATTGTATGGTAACTAATTCTTTCCTGTCCACAACTTTATACCCTTTTCATCAAGTTTTGAGAGGGAAAAAAAAATTACTTGCACACACACATACAAGCAAACAAGCGTTTCAATTCGACTGATCAGAATTCAGACCTGTTCTTGAAAACTACCAAGATTTGTATTTGAAAGCAGGAACAAATTATTACTTACAATTATTTCAGGTCTTTTCATTTAGAAATCAGCTACATTAACAAACAAACAACAGACATACACATAGGAAACACAGTACAATACAGTTAGGAATTTCAGTAATATAAATTTCCATCTTATTATTTTCTAATAAAACACTTTTAGCTGTGGTACTTAACAACCTCTAATGTAAAGTCTATTTGTGTGAGCAAAAACCATCTGAAGGAATATAGAAGTCTTGCATAAAAAATAAGCAATGCCCAAGAATCAGTTAATTTGTCTTTTACGAGACTAAGTCAAAGTTCAGAATTCCTACAATAACTAAAAGCCAGAAAAGAATGATAAAGAAAACACTAAAATAGCAGAAGCCAAAATTCAAGCAATGAGATTGTAGATATGTATCCTTTTATAATCTTTACCACCAAATGGTACAAGGGGTTTCCTTATTTAGTTGTTGTTTTAACATCATCTATCTATGTAACATATCCTAAATTTAATTTCACCTAATACTACAAAACAGGCATTTTCTGATGTAAGTAAGTTGTTTAATTTTTATACGTTACTCACCAACTTTGGAATCATTCTTTTGTGCTCTATCAGTATTGGATAAAATTGGAGAGAAAATAAAAGGACTGGAAGGTTTAGATACTGATTTAAACCGTATACTTTTCTTTTTAACTGGTCTTAAATGAGGAGCCATGTTCTGTAGCTTGAAAGACCTGTAAAAAAGATAGTGACAGTGTATATTTTATAGATAGAAAACACAATTTGTTTAAAAATATTCTTGTCCAAAACGTATCACAAAGAATCTTTTTTATTAAATAAATATAGAGCACAAAGCAAAAATTAACATGACATTATTCTAAAAATATCTTTACCTTTAATATTAAGTATTATATGAAATAATAAAACTTAAGTTTTGCTTTAAAATATTTGCCCCTCAAGTAAATGCTAATGAAAATGTTAAATTAAGGTGATAAAATACCTAGCTTTCAAGTTGAGTTAATCAACTTAGTAAGTTGAGATTAAAACTGTCTACTCCTCATGAAGGCACTAATAAAACTGAAATATATGTTGATGTTAAAACTATATGAAGTAAGTAATAACTATAAGAAGTCGTTAATCAAAACAACAGTTAAGAATTCATCTCTCTAACAGTAAGACAGATGCTAATAAAACGGGTACCTTAAGGATCCATTTATTTGACAAAAGCATGCATAGTTAAATGTTCCAGTAGCTGTTACAATACATACTTGTTTTTATGCTCATGTTAAAACAATTTCGTGTGAAATTTATAATTATTGATACAAAATGTTTAGAAACCTCATCATACAGAACTTTCAAATTACTCTGTTATTCTAGTGAACATATAACCTAACTACAACAACAAAAAAACTCACTTGACTTTAGGAAGGTTAAGTAGGTTTACCGGAGGTATAATGTAACCATTATCTAGAGCTAGAGGGACTGGGGCCCCTTCACACTTCGATGTCAGTGATTCCAACTGAGCACAAAACTCTCGTCTGTCGGATAGTGGCAAGTGATCTAACATGGTGTGCAGCAGGAATGTCATATGTCTAAATGTGCAAGTTGAAAATAATATATACCTTAATAGTACAACTCAAAATTTCATACTAAACATGTACCCTGCATATTAAAATTTAATGGTTTTAAAATGGTTAAATACAGTGTTAAGTTTCTGTGAATTTCGACCAAAGCTACTCAAGAGCTATTTGGACTAGTCATCCATAATTTAGAAGCGATAGACTAGAGGGAAGGCAGATAGACAACACCACCCTTCACCAACTGTTGTGATACTCTTCTACCAAAGAATAGTGGGATTGATCGTCACATTATAATACACCCATGGATGAAAGGGCAAGCACGTTCGGTGACGGGATTCAATCCCACTACCCAAAGATTATAAGTGAAGCTCTCTAACCATCATGCCATATCAGACCTACAGATTTAACAGAATAACAATTATAATAAAACTGTAAAGTTGCATTCAATTAAGTTAACCCATTCATTACACAGAGAAAAAATTAGAACATACTACAGGTGTGTCTGAATAAACCACAAAATTTGATCGCATTAAAATAGATATTAAATCCACTATAATTATTTAACAGCTGTTAGGCTTAAAAAATGTTTTCATTATTTTATCTTTTTAAATTTAATTCTTTGCCTAAAATACACTTTCAAACTATCTAAATCATGGCCAGTGTTTGTACAGTTTTCATAGATTGATGACATTTATTTTGGTAGAAAGAACTTCTATCAGTTCTGTTTCCTTAAGGTAAAATTTCCCGTAACCCTAAAACGTAACTATATATATGCTATAAATTTGGCTACAGATACCAGATTCTATTATGCAGTGAAAAAGTTACTTCTTTTCTGTTTCTTACCAAAAAGAAAACTCAACTGGACATCAAATGTACTACTAAAATAGTGACATTAATATTTTTAGAGGCCACTTTCTGTGTCTTTTTCAACATCAGGAGATTAACCTAGGACAAGAGAGATAACTTGGGGTCATGAAAAAAAAGCTCAGAAAACAAGAAAATTTCATGACTTCTATATCTGTTGATGGAATATTTCATGTCCCTCAAACTTTATTAGAAGCTTCAAGAAACGGCATAATAATAATTCCAGTTTTTTTTAAGTAAATCAACGTACTAAATCTCCCATACTAAGCAGAGATTTCTGGTAAATATAAATCATAAAGAAACCTGTAAAATACAAATTTTGTTCCTATTTTCTTCTGCTCTAGTAAAAGAAAAGTTAGTATGTATAAATTTTTAAAAAAAATCAGAAGTATTGAACAGAAGCAAAAGTGTTAAATTCAGCTCACGTATCTTAAACTTGCCTGGTAATAATAATAATAAAAAAATAAGGAAGACTGTCTATTAATAAATATTACAGTCCTTCATGTTCAGTATACACCATCATACTGATAACTTCATATGACCCTGTTGGTTACTATAGCTTTAATACTTTTGATTTTAATTAGCTCAGACTAGCAATGTTACACGTGCAATAATATGACATTTTTCAAACTATACTGTCCATAGACATCAAATATTCATAATTTAGAAACTAAGTCAAATGTTTTATAATTTTAAATTACAAAATTGGATATTAATTATTAGCAAATTCACAGTAGCAAGAATTTGATTGTGACCTAAATTGCATTTTATGAACTTTTACCTGCAATAACATGAGGCCGCAATAACTTCCATACAGATCAGAGGTCATTATAGTTCAGTGGCACACTGTAAAAATGTTTCAGTTTAGCCAGCGAAACACTCTGTTTTTTTAATAGAAAAACAGTACAATTCAGTAAATACAAATTAACTTTAAATGTCCAACTTTGTAAACAAAGAATCAAGATATGGCATCAAGCCCACAAACAGCCCTCATGGACTATTTATGTTGGGGCTGTTTTAGCTCTCGTGCATTTTTCATACATGAAGAACTGAATATACTACAGCAAATTTTTATATGTTTCAATGTTACCGTTTCTCTAAAATGATAACCTGATTCACTTAACTTATAGGTATCTTAGTCCTTATGTCCATTAATTTCTGTCTTTTGCTAGTTATTGAATGAATGAAACTCTCGTTGTTTCACCACTCTGTTAGACCTATATTTAACATTTCAAGTTTGTCAGATAATGAGAACCATGTGAAACAAACTAATTTATTATGTAACAAAAAGTAAAATTAAAAAATTTTACAACACCACATGTCATACAAGTTATTAGACTAGTTAAATACGGTACATATTTTCAATAAATTAAGGGATATTTTTTAAAAGTAAAGTTTTAATACCAATGACTGCTTCTTTATACATTACTATTACACAATTCTGACTGAAATAAGCAATAACGCTCATATTTAAACAAAAAATAAATCATAACAGATAAATAAAGAATTATATCCAATAAGAGGTCATGCTTTTTAACCGTATAACAACCAGAATGCATCTTTTAGGTGTTACGGATACATCTACGTATCAAATTTCAAAATTTGAATAAACATAATTCCAATGAAATTTCAACAATTTTTAGCTGAAAATATTTTCAAATTGATATCTAATTATCTTGTAAAATTTATTTAGTCTAATTTCCAATTTTCATTTCCGTGCAGCTCCAGGAGTCTTTCCTGTAAAGAACATATTTATAATCATTTAAGACTATTTCTGCCCATCCAGAAGTATAGGTTTATATTTTCAAGGTATGATAGTATCATTACAAACTATCATCTCTTGAGAAATATAGTGATTCATGTCTTGTCTCTTATGTGATTTTCAATCTTTGTTAGCACGTAGTCTGAACAATAATACTGATAAAGCTAAGCTTTCAAAATAGCTATAGCCAATGTTAAAATAGGATTGGATAGAGCAGATTATAAACTATTTTTATATATCAACATGGAGTAAATAAATTGGGTTGTTCATTAATTTATGATTTCTTGAAATAATAAACTAACAGGAGCTCCTATAAGGTTGAATAAAGGAATCAAATTGGAAGTAGTGCCTTGAAAGAAACCACATATATTGGAGTTTTTTATAGTCTCTTTAAATGTTTTTTCAATGTTAAATATATTTTATTGTTAAATTATACGTTTGAAAGTTAAAGAACTTTTCTTCTATGACACAGCAAAAGGTAAGCTTAGTTAGGTTTAGTGAGGTATGGTGGGCAACAATAAAACATTTAGATGATTCAAATCCTTATTTCTTGAGCATTATTGTTAAGTTTATCATGTTGAAACATCTGAATAAAAAACATATTAATTAAAAAGAAAACTATACTTCTCAGATATAAATTGATTTCGACCAAGAATGTTGTTTGAAAAAATCATAATATCTCTCCTGAAAAATGAGATGGTGATCCCATTTTGAAGAGTGAGGTCATAGGTCACCAACAAATCTTTGTCAATTTTCAGTGTATTTTTTTTCAATGATATCAATCAAGTTTAGGTTGACTGAATATATAAAATATAACTTTCTGATCAACAGTAAAAAAAATATTAAATTTTAAGATGAAAGTGATTTTAATGATGTTTTCTTAAATGTCTCGCAACAAACTTTTGTGAATTTCTCTAATTACAAAATGATAGAAATACTAAATCAAGTTATTTTAATCTTTTGTAACTGAAACTAGATACTATTTAGTTAATATGTACTAAGTTTTCTGTAGTCTGGTTAAGTAATTCCACAGTGAAAAGGAAAAAATTGGGGAAGAAATTGAATGACTAAGATTTCAATACTTTATGTTGAGTTTATTTTGAATAAAATATTTCTAGCAAAAACTTCTGTCTGACAAAAAATCAATTCAAATTATGATTTTATGTCAGCCAGAATAATACTACTTTTTAAAAAAATCCAATACTTATGTTAATTAAGTAATAAACTTAAAATTTTTATCATATGCAGAATGCAGTTGGCAAAAAAAAAAGGTGTTGTGTGTGCCATGCAGGAAAGACAAAAAGTTGTGTGGAAGTATGGGAGTTCTAGGAGAAAGGTGTAAAGATATAAATAAACACTTACAAGATCTTTTGGGAGTGAATATTTTCTCAACACCCTAAAGTCTCTTCTTCCACATAAAAATTTTGAACACTGTGCACAGACACAGCTTCAAAAAAGGGTAAAATTTGCACCCTGCATATATAGAGTGGAGGCTTTACCCATAGATAGCTTTTCATGGTTTTTAACATACGAAGTTAATGCTGAACAATGAGCAATACTGAACAATGTGTTCATTTTAACCCTTTCGAAATGGGTCACAGGTGAAAGGTCATGTCATCTCCTTTGTTGACTCGCATTCAAAATTTTACTGAAATACTATTTCATGAATTTATGTCAATAAGTTTGGTATCAAACTGTAGATTATAAATTTTAGAACTATACATTACTCAATTTGTTGATTTAAATGTAAATATTAAAAAACACAGATAAACATTGATTTTTGTGTGTCACGTGGTATTTTGAATGCAGCACTGGTTCAAATTAGATGTTTGTGAAGTCAAAATACTAAGTCTATAGTTTCATACGAATTAGAAACTCAAATTACAGATATTGATAAGCTAGAATATAAAATAAGAAGGTCTTATCTTTTCAATTTGATAAGATATTGCTCATATAATAAATCAAACACAGTGGCACCCTGCCACCTCTTTCCATTTTTGGAAACACTCCTTTATATACATTTACTTCTATATATGACATTAATAACCAATTGGAAGCTTAGAATGTCCCCCTAGTGGTTTTCTTAGCCTTTCTAATGTTCCTTCCAACATTTCTTTCTTCTGAACCAAGATTTCAATGAAGTAGGCTGTGTCTTTAGTCTGCTCGAAATTTCATATTTTTTTAGACCCAAATAAAACTTACTAAGCTTGATAAATTATAGAATTCTATGGTATTGATATAGTAATTTGATTTTTTAGTTATTCAAATGTATATATAAAACCTTAGAAAATTTTTGTTTCATACCCTACAGATGCAAAATTTTTAAATGCTTAGCAACCAAAGTCAAGCAACAACCGAGTACAGAGATCGTAACTACAAGATACAATTGTATGCTTTACTTCTATATTTGCTGTTCTATGTTTTAGGAACAATAACTTTAAGAACTTGTATCAAAATAGCAATAATCTATATACATATATAATGTATAATAATTAAAATGTGACTGTATTTTACAAAATACTAGTCGACTAAAACACAGCCAAGACAAGTTACTTTGTACAGACCAAAGGTTACCTTTATGTTATTTGACACGGTAACATGAGTGCACGTGAGCCGCGTCGTTGTATCTTCTGTATTGTTAGCCAGGCACGGGTGAAAGGTCAATATAATAAATATATATATAAATGTATAATGATATGAGATTTAAGCCATTCAATCTAGAATGAAAGAGGCATAATTAATGTTTATTTCCTAATTTTTTATGGTGGTTGCGAGATCGATCAAATTTACCGAACCCGTACAAAGATTAGTTACTGATAATAACAGATAAAATATAAAGTTTTTTCCTTATGAAATGTTTAATAACTATCCAGACATTATAAAGATTTCTCATGTGAAATTTCAAAATTTTCTGATGCATAAAAGTATTTTTAATCTTAAAATGAAAATTACTTTGCATGATAGATAGGCAAGATGTAAAAAGAAAAAAAAAAGGCACGAAGGAAACATTGCTTTCCAAATCTTAAGATTTAATAAAAAAAAAAAAGATATTTTGCATATCAAAGCATTGTAATGTTTACTGATAATCTGCCAAATTTTGTTAACATTTGCTTACTAATTTAAAATTTATAGCATGAAAACTATAACAAGCACAAAATGGTTATGAGGTCAGTCCCAGGGACAGAGCTCGAGCTGAAAGAGTTAATGACAGTTTTGTTAATGCCTGAATAAAAATTACATTTTATTTTTTTTACACTGAAACTAAGGAATTAGTACCATCTATAATGATTTGGTAAACTTAACAGATTACAGATGTTCTACATTACAAACAAAATAAATTGTTTAACATATGATAGATGAACATACCTGACAGCAAGAGCTTGATTTCCCATACTTCTTGCTGTTCCCACCAATTCTTGCAATATATGAACCTGGATAACCGGCCAACCTTGAAGGGCATCTAAAAAAATATATATTCCTTATTGTTGATGTACGGTCAAAATTTCAAATTTACAGATACAAATGAAGTATCACAGTTTAATACCAATGTCAATGATGATACGGGTACTTCAATATGATAAGCAAGGAAATGAGAAATCACACTCCCAATTCTTATTTTTCATTCAGGTTAAAATGTTATTGTCAGAACTTTATGACACATTTAAGAAACCATAATTTCAAAAATTGCACTCTATCCAAGCAGTAGCATTTACCACTCTTGCTATTAAAAACAGATAAAATGTTATATTTCTCATTATCAATGATAAAAAAAAAATTGATATTTGTTATTGATAACGCAAAAGGCATAAAACGCATTGATTAGCAGTGAAGTAAAAGACATTCCTATACTGTGAAACAATTTCAATAATCCTTCTCACTGATTGTATATATATATATATGTTCAAGATTTCTTTTTTCACAAAGATGAAATTGAAAAGAGAATCTGTGATGTAGAGGCCTAATGTATTCCTTGATTGACCGTACACTCCACTGTGGACTGCAGTTTCACCAATTGAAGGCTCATCAGCACAGCTTGGGTCACCAAACCCAAGAAATACCTTTAGATATCCTATAATGGTGAAGTGTTTATAATATCTATGGGGGTTTGAGTCCGTTAGGTTACTATATGGTGAAGTGTATATAATATCTATGGGGGTTTGACCAATTGAAGGCTCATCAGCACAGCTTGGGTCACCAAACCCAAGAAATACC